GTTTTTTTGTTTGTTTTTTTTCTTCGGTGTTAGGGTGCTGGGGTTTGGGGCTTTTTGTTTTGTTTTGTTTTTTCACTGTAACCCAGATAGGTGTGCAAAAACTACTGATGCTAACTAGTGAAATGAACCTTCAGAGGTGTAACAATGTTTTAGGACTATGTATTTCATGGGAACTATGGCTGCATTACGCTAAAATTTCCCTCTAAAGTAACACCCTTGGGACAGAACGCCTTCCTTCAGCTTCTGTAGGCTCATCGCTTACCTGTTGGTAAAACTGTGTATGGCGATGCAAATACAAGCTACAGAAGCCTACAGCCTGAGCAGTGCACTGAATTAGCGAATAAGCCTTAGGCCCAAAGCTAAAGGGCTACATTCTTTACCGATTTTATCTACCTTGCATGCACACACTGCACCCTGCTTCTCCAGGACTTGCAGCCTGACCTACGGTAGTCATAATTAGCATTTGCGATAGCAAGAAAGGGATGAATTAATCATAGTCATCTTAAAGCTACAATTTTGCTGACATTTTATACAAAGTGAATGCCTTGTAGAAGCTTGGTTTTTTAGCACTTGTTTGTTCCTTTTTCCGTTAAGGCCAGTTTAAAAGACTTTTTTTCCTAGATCAAAGTGCTTTCCATTTTATGTTTTCATTTTATAAAAAATGCTTTCCATACTGGCAAAAACCGTTACTGTTTTTAAAAGGTACACGTAGTTCTAGTAAATGATACAAAGCATGATTTTTCAAGCCATGGTAAGCAAGCAGAAAGAGGACCATGTCAATCGTTATTTTTAGCTTATTCTCAGAAAGGACAGTCTATGAATTGAGCTGTTTTGCAAACTTTGACACAAATTTAGTGATTTGAAATTCACCTGTATGGGGAAGTGGTTGTATCAAGAGTAAATGGTGAAAAATGTTTCTTTGTAACACAGCACAAGGCTCCCATTAATTCACACTGACCAGACTAGACCCTGCTACTAAGACTGTTCTCAGGCGTTTGCTGAAAAAGGGAAAAAAATCTGCCTATGTTGTAATGTCATCTTCTTTAAAGTAATGTAGTCATCTTTGAAGCCATATGTAAAGTGGGACTAAGGTATTATGGCCCATTTAAATTCTACTGCTAACAGTGATGCTCCTGGAAGCTCTAAAGCGTGTAAAACATTAGATCATACCCTGTATTTGCTCCATCTAAAAAAACTCCATGCCATATACTAGGGTGAATTAAAAAAGCAAAACCAAAACACTGATCAGATCAGTACACATTAACTGGATATTGCTTAAGCACAGTATTAAAAAAGAGTCCTATTCTTATTATAGCTAAAATAAAGCTTATTACAAAAAAAGGCCAACTTTTCTGTAATATTAGTCTTGGCTCAAGAATGTTGATGCTGCCAAAGACGGTAATTAAAACAAAAAAAGGCAAAAAAAAAAAAAACCCCGCACCCAAACTCCATAGACATTATTTGCCAGATAGGTGGGTACAGGTGAATAGCAGATAGAAAACTGCAGTCACTTCAAGAGAGCGTTTAGGTGTATCTGCCTTGACCCCTGTACAAATAAATACCTTGGTGGCTGTCACGGGGAGTTAGGTGTTGCGGTGCTTGCTGTTGCAATGTCTCAAATCCTTTCTTTGGATGTAGCCTTAGCACCTGGCACTCTTCTGGAGTCAGAGTATCAGATGCACTTTTGACAGCAGCTTCTCCATTGGCAGGCTGCCGCCGCGCAGTCCAACAGCAGGCAGAATTATAAGGTAAAATAGCCTAAAGTTAAGTCATAGCATCTGTACTGATAAACACTCAAAATTTCCCCAAAGGAGAAAGTTACCTAGGTGTAATTCAACGTGCATCACAGTGAGCTTCCATTTGGAGCACTTGCTGTGTGGGACGGCTGCACTGCTTGCTCAGAGAGCCACCCGTGACAGCGACTGAACCGCCTGCTGCTTGTTATGTCCCAACAGTCACATACCTGCAACCACAACGCTTGTCTTCCCTCATTAATGCTCGAAGATTACAGCAGCTTCAGTATGGCCTGAAGTGCAATTCCAGCTGGTTTATGATGCTTTCTATGACATTGGCACTTCAGGGAAAGCATGCAGCAAATGGAAAGCAGACAAGCTTGCAAACAAGCTTACAAACAACAGGGAGACAGCTTCTTACCAGGAAAATAATCTCTTTTACAAGATGCTGTCCTTAATAAATAATGCACTTACCCTTAACAAAAAAAAAAAAAAAAGTTAAATACTAGAATCTGGTAAGAGATTGAAGGAGAGCTCATTCCAGAGTTCTGCTGTATTTTTAATAGGCACAATAGTAATACATAATAAAAATAAAAATGAAGACTTCTTTACCTAAATAAAATTATATCTGTTTACTTATGATTAGATTACTCTAAATTGTGCTATAGTCTTATAAAGCCACTTATAGTGGCTTTCCAGCTAAGTTGCCACTGATTCTTTGACTTGATTTTATGTAATAAAGGCGCTCCAGTATGGGACTGGCATACTCTGCAAAACCATTTACTTCTATTTAGGAGTTAAAAATACATTTGCTTTATATTTCTTCCAGGAAACATAAGTATAGTCTGAGTGGGTACTATGTGACTGACTTGATATTCTAATAATGGTTCAAAACACATTAACTGCAGCACAACTTTGTAAAATTGTCATTTCTGTAGTAAGACACATCAGTATTCCCAAATAAAACACACTACATATATTTTTTACAATATTTTTGTGGCAAATACTTTCTTGTGGACCAAATAAAATTAAACTTACCACCTGCTTGTAAGACTTTTATTTGATAAAAATGTACAGATTGGACAGCGTCTTGTTACCATGAGTTTGGGATAAATCCCATTCACATAAATTTTGGAAGCAACTGAACATGCAAGTCAAAGTTTATTGATTCAGAAGTATGGTCTTGCTAAAATGTTGTATGTCCTTTTCAGTCAGAGAAGGCGTGATCCCTACTCCGTGGGGATTACTGTGTTTTTCATTAAATATAGTCACTGAAGATTGCTCCTTTTGTACAAAAATAATGGAACGAATCAACTTACAAAAATAAATTAAAAATAGCCAGCTTAAGAAACTAAAACATATAAAAAATTTTTAAAATAAGGGGGGAGGTTTACATTTCTTACAGAAACAGCATGAGGTAGAAATTCAAGTCATATTTTCAGAAATTTCCCTAGAGATATTAATGAAATCTCTCAATTACTTTTGAAAATAAACTTAGGGACAAATATGTACATGGTAACATTAACTGGCAGCTGAAGTTTTAACAATTTTATCTTAAGATTCTAGTGACAAAGCAAGGTGCCATTTTTTCTTGATTTTGCTCTCGTCTAATTCTTTGAAAGTCACTCTAGTAGTTCACCTTGATGCCTGAATTTCCTGGACTTTGTTTCCAGGCAACAGCTTCTAGGAAGGAAGGAGCCTTAAGCCAGAGTAGACCATTACTGTCAGTAATAAAAACTGCCCAATGTTGAAAACTCTGTAACAGTTCTGCTGTAGCACTGACTTTTTGATTCCCCAGTGCGGATTACTGACTATGTTATTTGAACAAAAGTTTTCTTCCTTTAGTCTCAGTGGTTCATCTTCAGAGAAGCCAAAATTTGTATTTGTGACCTGCCTATAACTGTAGAAACAAGTAGGAAGAGATACTGATATATGATTTGATTAACCATAAAAAAGCATGCAGTCTTAATGTTGAAGAAAGATTAGTAGCTGTGTGTTGCATACACAATAGAAAAATTAATTTTACTCCCCAAAAAGATTATGCTTTTATCAAGGGGCTCTGGTTATGTCATATAACTTCAAGTATTACTAGTATCAGAACCCAGCAACCTTTAATGCACATACAACAAGGGTTTTTTGACGTATATTTAAATTTTGGTCCCAACAAATACATTTGTTAGGATATGTTATGTTAAAAAACCATACGATCCATCTAGCAGCAGATATTTCATGTTTTCCCCTATTCGCTACCTTCAGTACATATTTCTGTGTTCCCCCTACATTTCAAAAATTTTCCACCAGGATGGAAAATTTTCCAGGATTTTCCACAGACAGGATGTTCACGGGCACAAGCAAACGGGAACCCAGACTAGTTGGTACAGGTAAACTCCAGCCGCTTGTAGTATTAGGGCCAGGCTGACCTCTACCACTAAAATCATTGCACAATTACTAACATCAACAGGAAATGTGCTGCTTGGTATTCAGAGGAAGATCTGAGACAGTTATTTCTTCACCACTCTAACATCAGGAAAAACAAGCCATTTTTGAAATAATGAAAAACTAATTATGCAGTTCAATCAAACTTAATGGCATTTTTAAAAAATGGGTTTTACAAGCAAAGAGAAGTGTGCTCTAGGCTCTGGAAATATTATGACATTGGAAAAAATGTCTACATCACATAGCAAGACTGTATACTGACCAAATGTTAAATCAATAGTACAATTTCTTGTTCTCAGACTAACAATGTGTCAGTCTGACCTTTTATTTAAAAGACTACTTAACACCATGGATTTAGCATGTCTTGCATTTTACTTTGTAGCTCTGACTGTTTTAAAGCTTTAAGTATATTTTATTTTCATTGTATAGAGAAGAATCTGTGGCACAATCCCAATTTAACAGATCAGTGACAGAGCCAAGAGCACAAAGGTCTCCTGACTTCTTGCTTATTAGGTCATCCCTTAACTATGCTGTCTCCCCCAAAAGTTCCTCCTAAACTAAGAGTTGATGCAAAAAATTAAATGTTAATCATTGTGTAAAGCAGTAAAAACAACAATTTGCCTTGAAGTAATTCTTCCCCTTATTAATCAGATATATGATTATTTTGTCATTATGGCAGCATAACAAAAGAGAACGTTCCTGAATGCAAAAAATTAGATTTATGAATCTCAGGCTAGCTAAAAGAGTCTTGTCAAACTTTATCACTTTATTACTATTAATTTTTATATCATAGAATTAAGCAGATGTATAAGATGTCAATAGGCTTGATCTTTACAACTTGAGATCATTGTTTCCCAATGGCTTAAAACAATCGTCCACAAATTCATCACTGACTTCTTCTAGAGCAGCTGGCTTCCATCTGGGGGACTGGTCTTTGTCAATCAGCACTGTCAGGTGGAGTATAAAAACACAAAAGTTACTTGTAAACTTTCTCTAATTAAGGTGACTTCAGATTGCATCAAGACAGACAACTACAGTGAATATATGGGGGAGAAAAATCAATACGCTCTGGAGAAGACAGAGTTTTTGTAACATACATTTCTACTCTAATAAAAATTCTTTGAGTTGTGACCTGTCTGGAGACATATCTGCGAGCTGCCTGATGATACAAGGAACAGTGGATCGCTTCAGAAGTAGCCCAAGCTTTGAAGGAATAGACCTGAAAATAGTGCTTTCTGTTAGACCTACTACTCTTGCCTGTCTTCTGCTTTTTCATGTGAAACTGGGAACAGTATGCATAATGCTCCTTTTGGACAAGAACTTTCACATCTCTATGCAAAATCTGACTCTTAGTAGAGTATAGGAGATGACTCAAAATAGGTGTTAAATGCCTAAAGCTAATTTAAACACATCATATAAACTAATAATGAAATAACTAATGAGGAAAGAGTAAAGCAGAGTATCTTTGTGGGAAAATCAAGAATATTTATTTGTAAATACTGACAGATACTGCAGACCTATGTAGATTTAACTGTGAAGATTTGTATCATCTTAGTATGTATACTTTACGCTGTATCCTGGGAAATACATCACTGAAGATAAAATCATCAGTGAATGAATCGCATTTAAAAGTGTAACAAGAAAATACTAATTCTCAAAAAACATTCCTTGTATCACAGGAATATTGAAGGCATGTCAGCAAGAACAGCTGCACTAGCAAACAATAATAAGACAAGAGAGAGTTTATTTGTGTGTAAAAATGACCAATATGAATGGAATTCCAGAGCGTCCTTTCAAGCACCTTTCTGGGCCCAAGAAAACCCGTAAAGGTGCTATTCAAAATGTGAAATTTTTATAATTCAAAAAAGAACAGCTATAGTAACTGTGGCTCTCTAGGATGCACTGACTCAGAACATCCCTCCTCAACACACATTCCCTTCAGACGTGTGATATCAGCGCCTGATTTGGAGATGCACCTGTGTCCTGGGAGACCTCCTGACCCACAGAGCCCACAGCATATAAGGGAGGACGGGCAGAAAGCCTCTCAAGTTCCTCTGCTGAGAACAGAGTTTTTTTGTTTGTTTGTTTTTTCTGACAAAACTTTGGAGTAGGATGGTTCTAAAGGCATGTGAATGGAAGACACTCATAGAGACTAGATATTTTGAAGAGTAACAGCTGTTTTTTGGTAAGTTGTCATGTCTTTCTCAACAGACTTCATTCTTGGTGACTAAACTAGAACCATTCAGGATGAGAAATGTGCGAAGGAGTTGGATTTTAAGTTCAGTGGAAAGAATACCCACCTAAAGATTGTGTCTTATCAAAAGATGGGCATTATGGCAGTTTGTGGTAAAAAATGTGACTTGAAAACTTTTTAACTTTCCCCTCTATAGCCAACACTTGGAAAATGCCTAGAAAATAAATACCAGTCAAATTACAACTACACTAATTAATATGATGTACAGGCATCACAACTCTTTAGCTTGCATCTCCAAAGAGAAAGGAGAATCAGAGCCCTGCATCCATTTACCTGCAAATGCAGGACTAAGGACTCCTTGGATACAAATAAACACCAATTTTGAGAAGAAACCTGTTATATAGATACAAGCTGCAATTCCACAGATAGTAGAATCCATGTGGGCAATTCTATAAAAGAAATGTCCTGTAAAAGAGTGATTTTACTAGGTTGTTCAACTGGGTAACTTACTGAAAAGTTATGATCCTACAAGTTAATTTTAAACATTGTGATGCGAAGCCATTGATTGGTTTGGGTCAAAATACTTAATTGTCCCAAATCAACTATATTTATTCCATTGGAGTAGCACTTATCTAATTATTTTCTTCAACTTTAGTTGAAGTTCACAGTCTGGCCAAAATAATCTTAACTGTTATCCACAACAACACTGACAAGAGATGCTTTAAATTAGAGAGGGGAGGAAAAAAAGTCCATGTGTATACCACTACAGCTTCAACTCTGAAATACAGTAGTAATTGCTGATAATTCTCCACTCTATGGCACTACTGTGCCATAATCAAGTTAATCTTTCTGTTTGGATCTGTGGCCTGTTTTACTCTGGTGGATAAACTGAATGCTCATAATGGTCTCTCCAATGAAATCTTTAATCTTGTATGAGTTAAAATACTTGTTTTCTAATAGTATCATGAAAATATTCCTTTTCTGCATTAATCTCTGTATATTTTGTGTTCCTCCAGTTTGAGATATCGATCACTACAAGAACAGAACAAAAATTCCGGAGACTTCTAAGGTAGGCTAAGGGAAGTTCATTAAGATAAAGTAACTGAACATAGACATTGTGTTAAGGGTTTCTTCTTGTGTTTTACCTTTTTTAAGAAAAAAAAAATATCCAAACCCTCTCTGTTCAGTAGCAGTGACTTTACCAGACTTCAGTTAGTGTTCTATTGCTTAGCTTTATTCAGCACAGTCAAAACACTGATGTTTCTAAGCACCTGAAATTCTGCTAGCTGCAATGAAATCTCTCTGCCTACTCACTGACTGCAGGGGGTTTGTGTGCCCAGGGTAAGGCTCACATCTGCCAGCTGCTAGCACTGCAGGAGAGAGGGCAGAAGCCATACAGAAATAAGATCTTTGCAGGATCAACAATACGTAGAAGGCCTTTACAATTCCATTTGAAGTGTACATTCCTGCACAAATAGTTAGGAGGCTAATTTAACAGATTTTTGTCCCCTCAGGCTGTTGAAATTGTAGTCTACCTGGATGTGTTTGAGTACTGACTCCAAAAATGACTACTTCTCTTATGCAGTAAGAATTAAAAAACAAAATTCTTGGAAATTACCCAGAGCTATGCATTTCTTAGTTTATATATTATTATATAAATCAAGATGAAAAATGGATACTTAAAGTGTTCAAAGACCACATTTACTATTTTATGGGAAAATGTTGATGAAATATGATCTGTGTATTTTATGCTTTAAGGGTTTTGGCTTTTCTTTAGCAGCTCCAATCACAAGAATCATAAATGGGGAAGACTGTTTGCCAGCAGATTTTCAGTCTGGTTGAAGGAAAACAGGCTAAAAGAAAAATGAAATTTTGACCTCAGGTCAAAGCAGGTTTAAAAAACTCTTAAACTACTTCCCTAACATTCCTATTAAAATTATGGTTTGAAGCAGATAAAAGCTGTTATTAAAACCTGACCTGTGGCCATTGCTGCTGAAAAACAATCTTCAAAAACTAAAATCTGATTATTGTATCTTAACTTTACTTTGTGATAGAGCCTCTTGTGGTAGATAGGGTCAACAGCTGGCTCTTAAATGCTTGGAATGTAATGTTTTAATAAAGAAAAAGCTAATACTTGAGTTAACATTTTTATCATTTTCATTTTTATTCACTATGGTTGATCCTGTGAAGTACTTAATAATCTTACTTCCTATTAAAAAGGATGCTCAGCACATTGTTGGATAATGATTTTTATGAGATTAGACCCAACTACAAAACTGATCTTGAGTCAGATTCTGCACCACTCTTAAACAAGAGAAACACTTTTTAGAGGACAAATCTGAGAACAAGATATATGCAGTAAGCAGGAGCAAAAGTGCTTCAAGAACAAATTATTATTATTAGCAATCCCCTCAGTGCAGCTGGATCTCTGGTGGGCGGGTTTTTTTTTCCTTCCCCTGATATAGTTAAGCCTTTGCTACATCATCCTACGTAAAACAGAAGCTTCCCAACTGCTGTTCTTGCAGCTTCTTTCTTTACAAGCAGTTTGTGTAATTTACTGGCCATACTGACAAGTGATGTGCTTTTGTCCTCTACTGCATCCCCAGATGGTTTAATGACCTTGTGCATTACAAGTGAGAATTTGGTTTGGTGTTCATCCGACTCTCAGACTTTGAGTTTGTCACTTCCTAAATAACTACATTTCAGCAGCTTATATGGTGATTTAGAATATATCCTAGGAATATTCTTTTTAAGAATTCTTTGTCCTCATTACCAACACAAAGAAAACCATGTACTTCTCAACATGTGTTGTAAATTCTTCAAAGGAGTCTCTGCTAATAAGTACTAAAGGTTAATTAATTAAAATCGGAAACTTTTTCCACGCTGTACAAACAAACTTCGCATCTCTCACCCCAGGTTATCTTTAATACAGTATTACTAATAGTGAACACTCAAACTAATATCCACTACTCAAGTGGATTTTCAAACTACTTTATAAAGACAGATATAAAAAATGAGGAGGAAATGATAATACATACTTGAGTATGTAACTGTGTGAATTAAAAGCTAGGTTCCCTCAACCCCAAAGTGTTATTCATCCAAATGTCTTGTACTGTAAGCTCCTTGGAAAAGGAAATGCCTGTGCTTTGTTTCATCTTGTGCTGAATAGTACATAAATAATTACTGCAGTTTCTAACAGATGTGACATCGGGTTTGACAAACTGCATAGTGAATCAGCAGTAGAATCAAGGACAGAATCTAAGTCTGTCCCCCTAGCAGCTGAGCTGCTGCTCTACTTTTACCACTACCTATCCTGACCAGTGCCTTAAAATGCTGAATTATTTAACATTAAGTTTACATATATAGTTTTTTAATAGTAAGACACCTCTATACAGAGATATTTTGGACATGCATAAAAGTAGTCTCTGTCCTAACAGTCTTCTACACAAATAGTTGCTCTTGACTTTGAGTCTTAAACCATCTTATAGCTGGCTGAACCAGCTATGTGGCAACACTAAATCTGGACACACAAATGATACATGTAGCTACTCACTACTGTCAGCATAAAATATATTTTGAACTAGTGAAACCTTTTCATGGTGCTGCCTTACCAGGTGGATAAATAACATTAGGAAACGGGTTTTTTAGGAGATTACACAAAGGAAGCAACACGGCTGTTACACTTTGGAACAAATAATAAATTTTGGCCATACAGGAGTCCAATAAGCAAAAACTATAGCAAGCTGGGAAGTGTTCTCTGGGCTGTTGCTGCATGTGCTTTTCTTAACCTCTAGAGAAGCAACACAACAGTGAGTTTGCATATTATTAAGTTTGAGAAACATTTCTGGTGTGCATGCTTACCTGCCCGAACCCCTTCATAGAAGTCATGGCCTCTCTGAAAGATAAAAAAACATTATCATAGTTTTCTTAACAAAAGCCCTCTACCATTCCCATCTGACCATCATTAATGTAGTCTCCTTCGAGTTGCATATAAAGACATGGAACTGGAAAAAAGAAAGTGACAGCCTAACAAACACACAAAGATACTGAAAATGAAAACCTATAAATTGTGAGCTCTTGATGTAATCTATATAAAACTTAAGTCCCTGATAGACTTGGTACCCCCCTTTGGCTGAAGAGAGACAAAGGGCTCAGTTGCTTGCTTACCATGCATGCTTGGCTTAGTCTGTATTCCATTGTGAGTACATCTTGTAAGCTCATGGAAGCTCCTTCTCTAAGCTGTCTGAGAGTCATCTTTAAGGATGTAGGTGACATCTTATTAATAGTCTGGGGAAGACATTAACAATTACTTTTATTCTCTTCAATTTAGGCACATTTGCAAGTGTCTTTTTTGCATTTTAAACTTTGTGAAGTAAATCATGGCATTCTTCTCCCTGAGCTCACTTACATGATACCTATTCCTCCTGCTCCCTCCCACCATGCTGTCATACTAAGTAAACTTACTTGTATCAACTTTTACCAGCAAGATCTCTGGGATGTATGCCATCGCTTGTGGAAAGCCTAAAACTCCTAAGGTCATATAATTTATTATCAAATTACTACTAGCCAGAGAATGTAATGCAGCTTGCAAGCCATTTCCAAACAGATTCTTTTGAGAAGTGAAGGCAAGTGTTACAAGCAATTATACTCCATTTTTGAATATCATATATATAGTCTGAATTGCTCTTAGATGTTAGTGACAGTGTAGCTGATATTAGTATTGTACAGCATTTAAGTTTTATTTGGTACAATAGTCAGTGTAGTAAGGTAATAATAGCGAGATTAGCCACGAACTTTCAGTAGTTGCTTTATGATCCTCTGCAAAGACTAGACAATATACTAAGAAGAAAATTGTGGAAGAAAAAAATATTAAAAGAAATCAAACAAAAATGCATATTTATCCAGCCTTCTTGTCTGGGATCAACAGATACTGCAATAATTTAGCCCTCCATTGCTCTGCTGATAGGAAGCCTGAAGGTCTTGCCTTCCTTCTTTTACAGAGCTACAGGCTATAAATATTATGCAACAGACAGGATCTGTTTAAGGCACACAAACAAATGCTGTAAATCTGGCTCTCATGACTATCCTTCAATTAACAGCATGCCAGTAAACAGTAGGGGGAGGTGGGGAGAAAGACAAAAACCTAGTTAAGAAAACAGAACTGAGCTTTACAGCTTTCAGGGTTGTGGGGGAAAGGAGCTAAATCTTACTGTTGCTGATCTTTGTTTTCTTACTCTGAACAAGACTCCTCTTCCCCCGTAAACCCAGCTAAAAGCTCTGTATTATTCACAGTACAATAGACATTGCCTGTTAATTAGGACATTTTTACCACTACTGAAAAGCAGCAGATGGTAAGATTTGCCTCTTTACATTATTTTCATTGCAGACATTAGACTCCTTACCCACAGACTGAAATGGCAGGTCATCAACATTAACATTTTTTCTGGCTCCCAATTATTCTTCATCCCTCTCCAGACACCAGCTGATACAGCAGTGACCCATTTTGCCTAGTTAAGCTGGAAAACATGCAATTGCTATACAAGAAGGAGGCTGTGCAATTGCTATACAAGAAGGAGGCTGTGCAATTGGACCTTAAAAGCACTGGTTCTGTCATTCTGTTATTTGCATGTTGATCCCTTTGCTTGAGAGAGAAGCTGGCTTAGAAAGAACTAATGCTGGCTCAAACTGTCAACATTTCCTGAGTTCTGGTAAAGCTCTCTAACAACAAGCTGCCTTTCAGCACAAAAAAAAACCCAGCTATACTTCTAATTACATCACTATGTAGGTCTCAGATGGATAGCAACTCTAACTGGACCCCTTAGTTCCCATAATGTGCTCTTGCTGGCTTTACCTTTGAACTGGACCTTTTCTCCTTTGAGTTTCACATTCTGTCATCTAGATTAGAAAGTCTTTGCTCAGACCAGGTTAAACGGTAAGCACAGTGCAACCAGATGGCTCCCTAGGTGAAACGGTTAATGGCAAGTTCTTTCTGGTTAAAGAAAGCACTGAAATGGGGAAGATCTGAAAACAGCACTTAACTAGTCTAGTGCATCCTGCAGCTGCCGTATCTTGGCATATCAATGAGGTTGAAGGTGGAGGAGGCACTACCATAAATCAAGCTGAAGGAAGAGGAATAAGGAAAGAAAATGGGTGGGTGTAATTGCAGAAAAATGAGTCACCAATGTATCTATAAATAAATTTTCTGTACAAAGAGGAGGAGGGGATCGGTGCTAGGGAACAAGCCTGAAAAGGAGATAGGATAGGCTGAAGTGGGGAGTACTAAAATGCAAAGAAGGCTTCATAGAAATATTTGACATCTATTCCAGTATCTTTGAGACTGTCTTGATTTCAACATAATGATTCTGAAAGCTATAAGCTGAATTTGTAGTAGACCCAAATTCCAGTAAGATACTATCAGAAGGTGACCAATTTAATTGGCACTGAATCAGTGGAGTCCCTTATAAGTGTAACGGCTGTAAGAGTGGCTGCATCTTTTGACTCCAAGGCCCACTAAAGTTTCTGACCTGAGCTGCTGAGGGTCTTTGAGGGAGGCTTTCTTCAAGTTAAAACAAACAAAAAAACCTCCCAGAGGTCCAGTGTATCTCTTCCCTTGCAATAGATGAAGACACCCATCACTTACTTTCTGAGATACCAAGGCATTTGTTTGTTTGCACCGAACAATGGTTCTGGATGAGCTTTGACAAAATATGAGTATCTAGCCAAAGCAACACAGGAAAGCTGCTTAAGGACAGGTATATCACACTCTTACTGGTCTGTTAACAGAGTTTCAGAATGCTTCTTTACTTGAATTCAACAACACTACCAAGATACCATCCAGCTTCATTCCTGTAATCTATCTCACCCACTCGCTGCATACCCATTTAAAGTTTCAGGAGCTAGTGTCTGCACCCCAGCCTGACCAGTAGATCTGGACAAGGTGTCCTGTAATTCTTAGTCTCTGCACTGTCCTGCACACTACACTGGAATTCATTCAGTAACAATGAAGGCTATTAAATCATGAAGTATCGGTGCTCAGAAGGTGCACTGTCCTGCCAAAAAAAGCTATAAGAAAGCACCACGTGAAAACCAAGGCCTTTCAATATTTAAAGGGCGCTTGTAAGAAAGATGGAGACAAACTTTCTAGTAGGGCCTGTTGTGATAGGACAAGGGGGAATTGTTTTAAACTAAAAGAGGGCAGATTTAGACTAGATATGAGGAAGAAATTTTTTACAATGAGGGTGGTGAAACACTGGCACATGTTTCCCAGAGAGGTGGTAGATGCCCCATCCCTGGAAACTCTCAAGGTCAGGTTGGACGGGGCTCTGAGCAACCTCATCTAGTTGCAGATGTCCCTGCCCATGGCAGGGGGGTTGGGCTAGATGACCTGTAAAGGTCCCTTCCAACCCAAATGATTCTGTGGTTCTATGATCTGATGCTTTTCAGGTTTTGACCCCACATGCTTACTTCATCCAGTTAGAAGTGGTACTTCTGTCCCTCAGATTAAAGCTTTTTGGCTCATGTAAATCCTGAAAACAAAGTACTGCTACAAAATAAAAGGTTTTAAAAAATATTTTATTATGAGTTCGAAAAGTGTGTTAGTACTCTAGCTTTCTACCTATTTGTAACTGGGTTCAAAATGGGATTTAAATCACGAAGCCATTCTCAAGTAGAATTTTAACAACTTTACATTCTTCTTATTCATGCAAACCACTTTAGTATCAGATACATGAAAGCCTGCCAAGCAGGCATGTTTTGAAAATAAAAAGCAGTAGTACTGTAGACTGAACAGAACAGGATACCTAGGATAGCATGGCTCACAGCACACTTGGATTATAGCAGAACTAGTAGTTCCATTTATTAACACTAAAAGGTATCTGTACATCCAAGGCGTGGATGTACCAAGTTGTATCTCCAAATTAGGGTATTTGTATTAGACGTCCAACTAGGGCTTATTCCATAAGCTTACTACTACATATCATAATAAATATACAGGGAAACAAAGAAAATAAGCATACATATTGCTGTCTTGAATCCTTTACAGTCTCTATACTTATCATTTGAATATGCTGTTGTTCCTGTACCTGGACGCTGAAGTGAAACCTTGGTTTCACAAAGTGACAGGAAACTATCATCTATGGACATACTCTTGGTACTTACTAAGGAAAATTACTTGCTTCACACAAGTTGGCAAACTGCTATCAAGGATAACGTCTGATAATCGCAGACTGCCATGGTTTTGCTACGTGTTCCCTGCTCTAATCAGTTCTTTGAACTCCGCTCCTCTGAGCGGTGTGACCTCCAGTGCTCTTGTCTGTAGGTGGTGTAAAATGCTCAACTGCCAGGGTGCAAGCTACCATTATTCCTCCAGCTACAATTAAGTTTAATTACAATTCTGCTTCCCTAGTAAAACAAAACCTCCAGTTTAACTGGCAAGCATTTCCTGGAGAAAGCCAGATTTATACCTGAATCCCTTTGTAACCTTTTTCCCCCACAAATGCATTTTTCTCCTTTGGTTTTGTGGATCTTTCACAGAAGAAATTAAGTATCTGATCCTACAAGCTTACTTAATCCTACTGCTTAGCACAGAATATGTGCTGTTAGAAACATGTCTGAAACTTATGTACTTGTTCATACTAATAAGCCTTGCTCCTGCTTGAAAATGTGAGGTGGTTTGGTTTTTTTGTTGCTTTTTTCTTTTTACAAATTTCTGTATGGACAGAAGCAACTCCTGTTAACACAGTCTCATCTCTTGAACAGAACAGATAACAGACAATTGTTCAGGAACTTCTGTCAACTCTAAGGACAGTCATTCATTTATGAATTGTATGAAAGAAAAAAGCTGCTATAAAGTCCTATTAAAGACATGAAGTAAGAAAACTGAAGAAGCAATAAAAGAACCACTTCTTTTGTTCAGGAATTAAAAAAAAAAAAAAAATCAGTTACACAAAATCATAACTTTGAAGCAGATGACATGGTTTGAAGTTCTAAATTAAAAATATTAAACAAATGTACCCCCCCCAAACAACAAGATTTTTTTTTTTAATAGGTGACATCTGAGTTATGAGGCTGCAGATGAAGAAAACAAATGGAGCAGGTTTGGGTAACTAGAGCAAACACAGCAGAACAAACTATCTAGTTAACATATTTCAGTAACAAAGTGTTTCCGGACTCTTTCCATCTTTTCTAGTAGAAACTGTATTTGGAACAAAGCATCCTTTAAAGGCTATATGCTATTTTAAAAAGTTCCACTAGGACTGATTATGTTTTAAAGTACCATAAAATTGTATGAAATTAACTTAGGAAAAGCTATATGCAAATAATTCTTGTTTTCAACCTCCACTGAAACTAATCAATATAATATCCCTGTAGAATTATATTAAACTTCATAAAATCTAATAAAAATCTAAAATAAAATACTGCCTTGTAACTCAATACTATAAAGAAATAAGAGCCACCAAAAGTGACTGCTTTTAACATGCTATCAAACTGTCTCAACAGACCTTAATATAAGTACTTTCCCTGCCATCTATAACATAGGGAAAAAGTGAAGAACTGAATCATACAGCCTACATAGTTCAGGGCAAAACCATGATGGTAGCCTATGGTAAAATTCAAGTCTACAAACTCATGAAATGATTAGTCTGGCACTAGGTCTTTTGACTCCTTTATTCAATGAAACCTGAATACAAGGGGGGGGGGGAAATTAGCTTTCCCTTTCATTCGATTTTTCTTTTGTAATACATACGCTAAACTTCTTGCAATGTACTAGGCGTACTGGTTGACACAAAGATAATTTTAAAACTTCCTTTCTCAAAAACTGTTTGAGAGTTCCAGTAACAAAATGTTAAATCTTTTTAATTAAAAACTAAAACCAAAAATGTATCTGTGTATCTGGGACAGGATGCCTAATGTTAATGATACTACATAATAAAATTATATTCCTTCGGCTCAAATGAAAGTCTGCAGATGATGGATGTTTCATTTTATTACAAGAGCAGGATTTCTTCTGTGAGCTGTAACTAAAGTTAAAACAAAGCTTTTGTTGGAGAAATGCTTGTGTTCTATCCAATTGTAAGTAATATTTTAATAGCTCCAAGACAAACTTCTACACGGCACCTGAATACAGATACTTCAAAGGAAAAAGAGAAAATACACACTTTACTTATAAATGAATATAAGTTGCTTCTTGCTTTTGAGGCTGAAGAGTGTATTAAGTGTGTAGTATTACTGTATATTTTTTGAGTTGTGACTACATCCAACACCTAGAAATGCATTAAAAAGATCAAAAAACACTTTGTGATGGTAAATTGCTTGCTGTTTACCTAAATGAGGTATCTGGAATGGAAGAAAGTGAACAACATTGTTCTGGCATTGTTTTATTCTAACCCTTGGCAATAAAATGAGAAGCTATAAAAGGAACCTTTGTCACCAATAACCCCCTGATCGTGGGGAGGGGAAAAGGGAAAGGGAGTTTGTTTTTTTTTTACTAGATCACAATTTTATGCAACATATGATGGTATTCATACGATGGTGTGGTTTTACAGAGGAATATTCTTGTCTGAGTAGAACTACTGACAATCCCACAGGACTATATGTGAGAACCTGAGGATCTCAGTCCAATGCCTTACTGGTGTTACGTAGTATTAGTTATGTTAATAAGGTGACTAAAGTCTGCCCCATGATAAGAAAGTACAGAACCAGACTTAAAACCTCTAACAAAAATACCATAGAAGACATTACCTCTAGCTGCTTAATGGCAAAAGGAGAACCATCTTGCTTTAATTTTTTAACAATTTCTTCCATACTATTTGCTGAAAAAAGACTAAAAGGGGAAAAAAAATTTAATAAATGAATGAACTGCTTCAGCCTTCCTCTTCCCTATGAAGTGCTAGTAACACAGAAATTAGAAACAGAGCGTAACCAGCTCATTTGGCTTTTCTTAGCAATGTGTTCCCTGTTGCTCAGTTTTAAGTAACTCAGTTGACAGGCATCTCCTTTTTCTTTACAAATCTCTAGCATTTCAATAAACCTCACTTACAAACTCTGGTATTTTCCAGAAACTTTAATTACTACCATCAGTCTTATCTGTATTTTTATAACACATTAAATCTTTAGCTATCAGCTCCATTCTACTGGTTTGGTATCAACATCTTTTGTCTCTAAACTTAGTTACTGCCGTCCTTCTTCAAGAGTTTTAGCTGCTTCTTATCACTCACTTATTTCTCCTTCCCTTTCTGATACACAGAAGTTCCAAACAATCATAGAAATGGCCTTATACCAATGAGCATAAATGCGCTACGTAACATTTCCTGTCCAGCTGAACAATTACTCTCACAAATTCCCATCCAATTTTTATAGAAAATGTTCATTTTAATGTGCCGTAGGGTAGTTGCTTAATATAATGGTGTATGAATCAGGCAAATATGCTCAAGTATTTAATATACTGACCAGTGAAATATTTAATGAGCTTCAGATGAAGCACCCTAAAGACAAAAAAATTTAAATTGCTAAATTGAATGTCATTTCTATCGCCTTACCTGTGGAACACTGATACTGTTACTGGACTTAACTTCATGTTCTCTATCCAAAAGAATAAAAAAGAAGAAAGATTGCTGAATACCTGTTAATCTTCTCCATATGTTCATCAAGTACAAACTCTTTTTCTTGATCAATTTTGCTCTGTTTAAAAAGCAAATACGTATTTTACTTGGTTATTTTAGACTGAAAAGCTTATCAGTACTGAAAAATTTCAATGACTTGTGTTACAGAAACATCATAATATCATAAATGAACATTTAATATTCATAAGACACACATTTTTAACGAAATACAATTTTGCAGTGTGTATAAATGAACTTGTCACTTTATCTTGTGAATGTTAAAGATGTCACCTCATAATGCAGTGCTTGCTCTGAGCTACTATGTATGTGTATTTGACTGGGTGGTTATCTAGTAATCATGATTATTCTATCAAGGCATTTCCATCAAATATACTAAGAAAGCCAGTGTAGATAAATCTACTCAAAAACCTGAGAATGTTTTTAAAAAAAAAAAAGTTTTCTTTTCTTAAAAAAATATACAGGCATGTATATATGTATTTAAAAAAAAAAAAAACGGCCAAAAAAATACATTTCTCTTCCCTATCTTTTCTCTGTCATTTTACAAAATTTTATTTAGACAACTAAAGAGTGTGAAAGATCTGTTGGCCCTATGTGGAAACGCTGTCAAATGTTTCAGATCTTCTGGCATTAAGGGGTTTAGGACATAAGCAGATGTTTCAGTAACAGCAGCTGAAGCTGAGAAAGGTTCCCTGTCATTTCAGCTCTGATAACTAAAAATACACAGCTTCCTTTTCCACTCAATGTCATCTTGTAAAGCAGTATACTGCAACATACAATCACTCCTATTTCATAGCTTTCTATTTTGTCAAAATAACCAGTACTACTATGTAAATTAGCTCATCCCATTTATTTTTCTAATTGATCTTTATATAGAAACTTAGTAATTCCAAAACAGAAATAACAAGAGTAGACACTGCTCATTTTAAAGCCAAACAACTGGGGAGTAATACTCAGACTGACTGAACACATTGAATCCTGATTTGACTCCAGAAGTTTCCTTTCTTTTGAAATAAAATTACAATGCACATCAAAACAGCTAAAACTGCCACTGAATAAACTGATTGTAAAGCCAAAACCTTTTCTTTTCATGCCCATTGTTACATGGGGCTAATGCAAATACTAATTATGTATTATCAATACAGTTACATTCACCTCCAAAATCACAACAGGGAACTATGGGTTTGTCCACTGGGAAAACAGCACCTTTCTCCCCCTGAAAATACTGCTTTAAGACCTCAGATGCTGTCTCTACAAGGTATCTGCACTCTGCTAATACTTATCCTATTGATAACTGCTTATTCACTGTGCTTATTCACAATCTTTCAATTATCTCAAGATTACAAACATATAAAATATTTGAGAAATTCAAGGGACAATTTGAGCCTTTAAATTCAGGCTTCAAATCTGGACTGCAGATGGTCTGCATCAAAATAATGCTAAAATTCACATCAAATGCATCAAGCTAGCAAAATATTTCTTCAGGTTGATAAAGTTTCTGGGATGGAAATATAATATCCACTTCCAAGTGAGCAGCGTGGCATTTAATAACTGGCACTATAACTTCTGCAGCCTCTGGACTAGGCCCGTAGTTCTAGCCCTGTCATTTGTGTTAGCCTGAAATTCAGGGATTCTGACAAACTCCCCAGATTGCATTTGCCATCATGTACAACTCCCAGCCTGCTAGTGGCTATCTTTTTGCCTTCTGCAAAGCATGCTAGAAATCCAAGAATAACAGGGGAAAAATTAAGCAGCAATATATTTTCTGCATCATCATGTTACTGGCTGGAAACTTACATACACACATAGAAAAAGAGAGAGGTGATCACAATAGGAATTTGAGGGGTATCCAAAATGAATAAAAAGTGAAGAAAGACTTAAATTTTAATTTTGACTACTGTAGGTATTAGTGCTAGAAATTAGTATTTTATAGGGTGCAAAGAGTTTGGAAACCCATTATTTTTTAACCACAAAACAAATTATCAGTAGCATGGATAAAAAAGAATTTGATTTTACACATATTTAACAGTTCTGCTCAATTTCACTAACTGATCAGATTACCTTCACATGGTAAGAGTTCAGTAAGTCTGCAATATTTTCTGTTGAAGGAGATTTCAGTGCTATCAGGTCTTTCTCTAAGGCAGGTAGCTATTAAAAATAAGATTTAATTCAAAGTAAAACAAAATGTACTTCTTGGACTATTACTGCTATGGTAATAGTACTATATAGTACATATGTATATAAACACCCCCCAACTTTCGGACAGATCTTAAAGAGGTACCAAGTAAACAATACAAGGAGCCAGAGTTCACTTTTTGGTGTTGAACCACCTGGATTTAATTATGTCTGCAGTGATGAGCAAAGAACTCTGCTTCCCAAGCAGCCCCCCAATGCAGTGCTACAGCTGCAGCAGTTAAAGCCAGCCTACAACAGTCTGAAAGGAAAGAGCAGGAGCCTGGCAACCATGCTATGCTCAAAATAGTATCTAACCAGCTCCACAATGACAGTCATGGGTCTTTACACAGAGAAGGAAAGCAAGTCATTGTTTCTCCTTCACTTATGTCCATGCAAGTTACTGGAATCTTATGACTCTGACTTCGTCAAATATGCTAATTTTTACACTTTCTTACAGCCACTGTAAGAAACGAATAGGGTGTCTGTTAAGGAGACTGATAAAGAACACAATAATGGGGTGTTACCTAGACTAAAAACTTTGCAGTTGTATAAATAATCTCTAATCTTACCTAGACTAAAAACTTTGCAGTTGTATAAATAATCTCTAATCTCAGACACTGTTGTCTTAATTGTACAATTTTTCAAGCAACTTCAATTATGCTTAGTAAATCATGCCCTTCAACAGTAGAATCATGAAGACAGCAACATTTGCCCCCTCTTCCAAGCAAAGCTGTCACTAGCTGGCAAGTGTTATAATGACAGCTTGAGAGTATCTCATGATCCCTGTTCACAGTGCACGACCAGTTAATATAATCGCGCCTCTGTATACACTCAAGTTAGTAAAGGTATACTGGTGTGCTACACAACTCAAACTTGTCATTATGGTTGTACACTGCGCCCTTGCTAGCACTGATTAGCAGCTTACCTTTTCAGATTCTACAAAATGGGTAGCGATGCCAGCTTTTAGTACATCTCTTCCTTTCAGCCTAAATCCTGTTAGTGCAAGGTAATAGCCAATCTTTCCTGATAGTCTTGGCAAGAAATATCCTCCACCTACGTCAGGAAAAAGGCCTGTAATAAGCAAAACAAAACAGAAGAACGTGAAGGGAGAAGAACTTGTCCTAATCATGCATTTAACTTAGCTATTTCTTCTTGTCTCACTTTCATCTCCCTGACTTAGGCACGACTCTCTTGCCCAAGTTTATCCTTGACTTTGTTTGACATTTTTCTGTCATCAAAACCCTTCCTGAAAGCAAACTCTTGAACACGTTCCAAACTGTATCCTTTCCACTGGCACATGATTTACAAACATATACCAGACAATAGTGTTCATTCTATCTGCCAACAACTTGAGACATTTTTAGATGCCTGAAGAATCAAGTGTGCTCTCAGCAAAAAACAGAAATGACACAAAGAACTGTGAAATAATTTGTGCAAACTCAAACTGGATGCTGCTTTTTCTCTGAAATCTTTTATTACGATAAAAATATCAAACGATGAAGTGCCTCTTGCACAGCTATGTTTGAAAAAATTTTGGATTCGATAGGTCAACAATATTGCCAGGGTCTTCCTGAAGGTGGAGGCACGAGATGCTGACCTAATACCTGGCTCTTTGACAGGACTATGACTAACCTGCAATTTAAAAATATTATAAAACTTTCCAGTTCAGTGACTATCTTTTACATTTTTTTTTTTTTAAATCTACAGAGTAGGGTAATTTTTAAAAATTCAAAGCTGTGAATGAAATTTAAGAGACTTCTAAAAGTTGTAGTTGAAAAATATATAACTACTTTTATCAAAGTTTAAATATTTAAAATCATCACTTTGTCAATATCTACCTTATTCTGTAACATACATTAATCACCTACAAAATAAACTGAAACAGTTTTTGTAACTTTTAACATGCTTAAACTTAAGAAAACTTAAGCTTAGCTGTATTAATCTCAGAAATCGAAATGGAAAGAAGCAGTGTCAAGTTATTACTTCAAAATAATCACCAATGGTGCATTCATGAAACTGAAAGTCTTTTGAAGATATTAAAGGTGTGGTGAAGATATTAAAGGTGTTTTTTCCACTTTGAGAGAATAAATGAAACATGAAAATAAATTAATAAGAATATAAACGAGCAACAAGAAACTCAGAAAACACTTGCCAAAGCAGAGCTATTAACTGGGAAGATTAAGATGTACATAAGGAGTTTAAATGCGGTTCTGGTAAAAGGTGGTAAATTTTTCACTCGCAATTGCTTTCAGTCACAAAAGAGCCAATATATGTATTATAGAAAGACCCTATTACAAGTATTTTAAGATGTGGTAAATTAGTGGTCCCTGAATATTCCTCCCCCTTGGATGGAATCGAGGGGAGGTTTCTTTCAGACAGCTTCTCTTCAGTGTTTTCCTCTTCTCAATAATCTTTAAAGTTCATCACTGCCTTATGTTCTCACCCATCTCTTAGCTTCTCCTCTGGTTCCCTCTTGGTCCTCCATAAGTTCTGCTGCCTCTAATACATCACAAAGTTGTTTTTAGGAGCCACTTCCTATCAGTTATAGTTGTAGTATTCTATTCCCATTCCCACTGATGTGCATGTTGCCATTAACTGATTTATTCCTCATCCCACAGGCCACTGAGACATACAGCTCTTCTCCTAAAATGCTGAATGTCTTGTTGGTACCCTTTAAAAGCCCTAAGCTGTATTAACCCCAATTCATCACCTACCTTTTTGATCTGTACTCACATTCTGAATAGTCTCCTCTGCATTTTGCCTTCTAGTTTGAGCCATCGTATCTATAATGTTGATGCCAACACTGTTGTTTAGTTTTATGTTTCTATTCATCTGTCTCCCCTTGGATATCCTACTACTGCAAAAAAATCCCTCATTTCAAAATGAAACTTCTCTTACAAATGCCCTCCAAAGCGAAAAGGCAATTACATTATTCTTCCCATCCACCAGGACTGCAACAGCAACAACCTTTTCCTCTTTGCTGTAAATAAAATACCGATGCTGAAGTACTATTCTCCCCATGCTCCAGTAAGTTTCCAGAGGAAAAGCCATCTTCCTATTGGGATCTATAGGGCCCTTCCACATGGCCATGCACAGGGAAATTAGTTCTAAATAAACTGTGAAGTTGATTAGCTTACGTTGCTTTAGAGGCAAATAAAATAAACCAAATGAAGGTTTCTTTAATTATTAAGGAATTTACAAACAGGATTAGTGAAGGTGTAACTAATCCATTTTAAACTTACTTGGTTGCATAAATGTAGTCCACTATAGCTTCTACTGTATCCTTTTCAAGGTCCCTGTCTTCCTTTCTTTTCATAATTTTACTCCTCTTGTCTCTGTTCTACATATTCCTCTTAATTCTCTCAATAATGCTTCCCATATGTTTCTGCCTGCTACTGGGTTTCTCTTAATGTATTCCAAACACTTGGGTTTTTTTTTTTTCCTTTTGATAGCATTTACCAATTATTTTTCAAATCCCTACTTAAATGAGAGAAGAACTGAATGTCTTTTGGGCTGACCAGGCTAAAAGCCTATGCCTGTAATGCTGACTTGCAGTCTATGCTCTGAGACAGATGCAACATGCTTCACTGTAATCCCAACTGTGAAACTCTGCAGTTGCCAAGCATAAGATAAAGGTAGCGCTACTACATTCCTACCTTGTCTTGCAGAGGTGGTTGGAGATTTATTAGTAATTGACTTACAGAAAGCTAAAAACTTACAGGGACATACAAGAAAGCGTCCACTATTATTTGAACATCTCCTTAAAACCCACTTCTTACAATATACTTTCATCTTTTGTTCTTCCCATCAGTGGTTCTTCCTCCTACAGCCTCCTACACCTAAGCTGTTTTCCAGTGCTTTATCTTATCTATTTAAATTTCAAACTCCGACAGTCTAGAACTGTCTTTTATTTATATTTGCAAAGTGGCATATCTATCTATATCCTTTTATTTATGGCGGTGTATAAATGCAGAATAATTGTGTGAACATGTAGGAGCTGAATGAACGCTTTGTTTTCATTTCACAGAAAAGGTGTAATGCCTACTGAAATAAGTGAACATATGAAAAAATCAATTAATACCGTATCTAGACAGCTAGACATTTTAAACATACACCACAGAGATCAAAGCAGCTAAGCCCTTAAACCCGAACAGATTTCAGTGGTTTCACTTCTAATTGATCGTAAAAGGCTTTTAATTACTTACTTTCCTAAGCAAATTCTAAGCTTTTCCTTTACATGTCTTCACAGACTATTTTTGTTTAAATAAGTCCTTGTCAACACAAGAAATGTATGTAAAGTACATAATTTTTGTTAATGTAAGACTACTCCTATCTTTTCCTTTGAAGAAGAAAGCAAAGAAGGTATCTTTATTATTAGAATAATTTTATATGCCAAAGAACCTCTCTGTTTAGTTTTCAAAAAAAAAAAAATTGTTTCCTTCAAATGGTTTTCTTGCACAACAGCTGATTATGAACTTCAGGAGTTTAGCAAATTCATGTTGTATTAATGCTTGACTTATTTAGTTTACTAAGTTTTCCTTCAGCAGAGAAAAATATTTGGAGTGCTGCAATAGGTTGTTTTTTTTTTTCTCATCCCAAACTTATTTGTTCAGAAAAAATACATGACGTTTATCAGCTAGCAGGAATTGCTCTAATATTTTTCCCAGGAGTTAAAATGATAATGAGCTTGCTTACATTTGGGGGGCTTATTATGTTTTATTTGACTTGACACTCACAGCTCATTTAATATTTTAAGAATTTCAGAATAAGTCTTGTGAAATGTTTCATACAGGCTGGATAGCAATAAAAAATAGATAATATGCATAAGACACCCTTTAAAATATGAAGAATGCTAGACCTTTTAAGCATTACTAACAGGGGGCACTACAAAAATCCAATCATTAGCTAAGCGTGCATTTTAACTTCAGTTGTAATGACATTATTGTACTTAAAATATTCTCAACAAAAGCAGAATATTACAACTTTTATTCTCTTTTCAGAACTGAGTCCTGATTTTTTTTTTTTTTTTACATTATTTCTTAGTTTTAACATTACGTAACTGTTTGGAAATTCTTTTAAGAAAATAATGGTCACTACTCCTTACAACTAATTTTTTGAGGTGAAACTAAGATGGAACCTAATAGCACCATGTCTGGTGCCATTTAAGTTGTTTAACCACCAGATAAGGTTCTCTATTCTGAATAAATATGTTCAACAGGGCCACATATTACAGGCTAGCCTCATTCTCCTGCATAGAGATAAGAACAATTGCAATCATCCTTCAGCTGCCTTGCTTTGGAAAGATGTAGAAACTAGAAATTTTGCAGGCGAGAAATGCAGGATAGGTTATAGGTTTTGAGCACTCTTCATAAACATCGTTGATAAGCAGGGAGAAGGGACTTGGATATTGATGAAACATTAAAGAAGTATATATGCCAGACAGTAACAGGTTCAGTGTGGATACCCTGTTAGTGCCAGGATTGTCTTGAAGGGAAAGGGTTCGCCCTCACAGGAGGGTTCACTTTAATCGGACTGACTTTTCTTGAGCCGTATCACGATCTTCATATAGCTCTGAGACACAACATTTTCTTTTGTACATCTCAGAATTGACAAAGAAGCTGTAGGATCAAACATTAGAAAACACAAGGTACATGTTGCTATTTTAAAAAAAAAAAAAAAAAAAAAGACGATGACACTGTGATCTCGCCTGCACATAATCTGTACACAATTGTAATGGGTCTATATTAATAATCTACAAGTAAAGTTGGAATTTCAAAATCTGTCTCATTAACATTGCAGATCAGCTTGTAGTACAGCCAGTTTGGCTTATACTGAGTTCCAAATGTAAAGCTGACATACTTGCACTGGGATCTTCAGACTTTATCTGCCTACATCTGTAGCAAAGACTTAGTTCCTCAGATCTACTTCCATTTTTAAAAAATTGTATCCTGACAGTCTTTGTGTCAGTCTAAACAGTAAACCCCAGGTTAAGAACCTCAATGATCAATCTCCCAGAATACAGATAAGTTTCAATCAATTTAATAGAAAATACTTTCCATATATGGTCATCTCCAATTCCTTTTTAAAATTCTTTCACTACTGCCACTGCTTTCGGTCAAAGACATTTCATCCTGATTACACAAACAGTGTAACTTTAAACACATTAACGTGTGCTAAGCTGTTAAAATACTTACCTATTGCTGTTTCTGGCATCGCGAAAAGTGTCTTTTCTGTAGCAACTCGGAAATGTCCATGGACTGAGAGGCCAACTCCCTACACATGGAGCACAAGCAAAGGACAGAGTTATAAAATTACCAGTAAAAATAATCATAATCCTATGTAACACACCTCTTGCTTTGCTCTACAATTAAATAATATTAGATTTACCATGCACATCTCAACAAAATATTAAAAGGCCTTTTACGGTTCAAACACTAATAAAGCATCATATTACCTTTATGATTTGGCTGAAATAGCATTCTATGCTTTAAAAGATGAGTTATACAGAGATTAACTTCAAAAACTCATGAGTGACAGCAACAACAGAAACAAGTGCCCCATTTTCTCCCTTAGACTACTCAGGGAGTTGACATCCTTTTGCTAATGTTACCCCATGTATTATTTTTGCACATACTTCAAACAACCAACAACAAAAAAAGCCAATACTTTTGGAATATACATGAATTGCACAAAGTTGTAATTATAATAATTTTAAAAGACATAATAATTAACTATTCTTATAATGTGATAATTATCTACTTTATCAATACAGAAGTATTTTAAGCAGGAAAAGCCTTCAACATTATTGATTAAAATTCAAAGCATGTAGTTAGAAATTCACTTATTTAACCTGGGGACTTTGTTCTCCAAGTCAGAAATAGAATTCACATTTCTAAGTATCTAGCCCTCTTTTTTAGCAGACCTTTCTGATGAGACACTTCCCTCAAGAGCAGAAGAGCTCCTGGTGTTGTCTATCACATATTTTCTGATTTAGGCAGTGAGCAGCAGCAAGGGCCTCCCCCTCCCCCCCACAACGTATTCTCAGTTTACACAAAATTAATTTAATTTAGAGAAATGTTCAATAGGCAAACTGGCAAATTTAAAGAGAAGTGGTTATCTGACAAAATTACTATTATTTAGTAATAATATTTAAAGTAATCCAAGAATATTTGGATTACTGGGCACAACAAAAACACATGGGTAAAGGAGTCTCACTTCTCAAAGCTTAGCTACATGATACATGTCAATAGAAATGTGTGTTAGATCCTACCTGGAGGCAAAACCCTCTACCAAATATTTCACAAGAAGTTTCTTCATACAAATATTTTCTCTCTTCCTTTCCACTGTTTCAGCTTACTTCCTTCCCTCACTGTTAAATTTCCCTTTGCTTAGTCCTCCTATCCATCTGATTTTTCTATTAAAACTAAGATATCTTAAATATCATTGGCCAAAAGAAGTCAGTCTCTCATGAAGATGTAATAGATTTTTAAGTAACATTTCTAATTGTTTACATACTAGAAAAATGGCACTTTACCCAACTAGCCTACTAAGCTACTAGTCTTCACAAACATCTTTACAATATTTCATACTTTCCATCCAAAACAGTGGGATTAATTGGGTGATACTTGCTTGGACCAGCATTATATATTTGATAGGCTTTTAAGGGGAGAACATAGTAGCACATCTTTTCATTTCACTTATCTACAGAGATCTCTGGGTGGGTTTTACATTAAAATTTTTAAAAGTTATCTCAATTTAATAAAAATTACATCCATTTCCTCACACCATTCTCATGCATTCTTCCCTGGCCTCTCTTACAATTCTGCCCAGCAAGAAATTAATTGTCACTGCTTATTCCATTAGGGTGATACATGACTAAATTTGAAAATATCTTCAAGTTTTTTCTGTAAAATGAGTATCTGCCAGTCTCAGGCTTTAATAGAGATGTATGAAGTTTTTAAGATTCCAGTCTAATTTCCTGAGAAATGGACGCTTAAGGTAACTGGATATCGTACTTGATTTTATATCCAGAGACTAAGCCAAATCTATATGCATGAAGTACTGCTGTTTCAAGGAGGCAAATGGGATTTGAGCAAATAGGGTGCAATCTTATGTCTCGTCCCTTATCTCTCCTTCAGCCCTTTCACTTGAGGACTGGTCAGAGGCCGTAGATCTCATCTGAGCAGCAGCAAGGGCAATGGCCCTGTATTTAGTTCTCTTGCAAATGCAAAGCTACATTCACTCCTAAAACAGCTCTAGAACTCTTAAATGAAATGGAAATGTGACTTCATCACTTCCAACTTTTTTTTATATCATAACAGCATATTTTCACTGCATTGGGTAAAGCCTTTACTACAGCAAGAGAAAGCACAATATTTCTGCTATTATTTTTATGCATGTTCAGCAATAATGACCTTTTTATAAAGATAATGACATTTTAAAAAAAACCATACCCATTTTGCTATTTCTAATGCTTAAATTAATTTTTTCTAATCCCCTATCTAAGAATACAAATATTATCTCTCATAATGCATTTTTTCTGGCTTATTTTCTAGACAATCAGAAGTTTGTATAAGGACTCAAATTTTCAGCTTGAGTATTAAGTAACAAAGACTAGAATGTGAACTCCATGAAGACAGCTTCTCTTCCAAGCTTGTTCTTTTTTATAGTGATAAAAATAACTCTAGAGTTTTAATAATAAAAAGTTGAAAGAGATAATTTTCTTTTGAAAGAAGTAATTAAACCAGATTTCACTTTCTCAAATGCTTAAGCCATAACTGGATTTGTTTTCCAGATAGCCTTCAAGTTTCATAGTATAGATAAGAGCTTAATTTCAGATGTATATTAAAAAGACCAGAACTATATTTTCTTCTTATCCATTATAAAGAAAATGGTGCAAATATGTCCTTACTTCTTTGAAGATCATTTCTAAATAATCCAACATTAAAATAAAATTAGGAAAGAAAAATGAGTTAACGCTTTGACAGTACAAACCCCAATAATTTATTAATTCATATGCTTTCGTATGTTTATTTGCAGCTTCCAAATGGTTATTTTAACACATTCATTGTATGTGTTTAACCTTCTCCATCTAATACGGAGGACAGATGCATATTAGTTTAATAGTATCCTGTGTAAAGAACAAACTCTTCCAGTCAGAAGTCTAAATGCATTCCTCCTCCATTTCTGGATTTTGTAATTCTTTTTTTTTTTTTTTTTTTAATTTAACTGAAATCTTACACAGCTAGAGTCCCACTTAGGAGACCCTTCACACTATTAAAATACCTGCAGTTGGGCTGTATTCATTTCATCAAAGTCCCAGCATTTACACATACAAGTCTTGATGCTATAATGTCTTTATTAAAACACACTATATCCTGCACTGTCAGAGTCCTACCTTTCATGATCTTCAAATATATACTAAAGCTAATGTCTTCCTTCAGACTTTTCCAAGATAATAGATTCCTATGGTGAATCAGGTGTGTTTTTTAATCCAGATAGTTTATCCTAATACTGGCATGAAACTTTTTTTCCCACTGACAGCTGAATGTTTGAATTTTGTAAAGGATACTTAAAGAATGAGACTAGAAATTAAGGAGTTAAGAACTTACCAAGCAATCAATTTAAACAATCTTTCTGTAGGGTTTATATATGAATTAATCAAAACCATAGATAAGAGCAGAAATGGTGGTCTGACAACGTATTACTGGAAATAGATTTGCTACGAAGGTGTTTGGTTACAAATTACGCATTTATTATTACATGGATATTACGATATTAATCTTGAAAACTGTGTGTTACAACTTGACTATTAAACTCAGCGCACCTCAAGGAGGCACATAATATTACAGGCAGTTCGGTTTGAATTCAACAACAAGCTTCTGAAAAAGCCAGTAGAGTATCCGAATTTTACTTCCCAAACACATGATTTCCTACTCAATGCCATATTTCAGAAGTCATTATGTGACTGTATATAGAAAATTATCATTGATTTCCTTTTTTTTTCTCATGATGAATACAGAACATTATTAAAGTACTTTTCTAATGAAAAACAAGGTGGAAATTACTGATAGATGGAGAAATGGAATATAGCTACTATAAATCTTAAAAGTTAAGTTGTAGTCGGGAGGCTGTATTATCTTAAATTGAGAATGACCCATATTTGTAAATCAGAGAACTCATCACATCTAGGAAGTTATTAAGAAATTGAGGGCCACCACAACAGAGAACCATACAGAGCAAAATAAATATGCCCTTCCTGAATGACATACGTAAACATCTGTTCACATACAGAAAAGTAGATCCGTGTCACAGCAAAACCATAAATCACACTTGTCTGTTTACTAAATAACCTAACTCAGACTGTAAAAGAATCACTGCCTAGAAAAGCATAAGCAACAGAATAAAAGAAATACAAACAGAAAAGGCCTTCAGGAATGTTGCTTGTATCATCTTCACTAGGCTGATAAAGAATTTTTAACTGTTCAAGCAAACAATTTTATGATAATACCAATATTCATATTGTCTGCAGTGAAAGTCCTGTTGTAACAGTTCACATCCAATGATTACACTCATTTTTAACTGCATGAGAATACAGTTCCTGGTAGGGCTAGAACCACAAAAGAAATGTGGCAATCAACAAACAAACTGAGCATAACACAACAAAAGGCAAATATATCTGAATACAGACATGTAAAAATAGCCAAGGTGCAGCAAAAATGTTTTCAAAAGCTTTAGTTAGCAAAGTAAGCGAATGGAATTGATTCAGGAAGCAGCAGGAGCTTATAGCTATGTTAGATCAAAATAACTGATGTAAGAGCATTAACCCCTGCATTCAGACACAGCAAATCTTAAACTGAATCAAAATTAATCTTCGTTTATCATTTATGTTATGGACCCACTGCAAAGACTATAATCCATTTTTATCTGTAGATACTAATGGACAAGATGACTTAGTGAACCAGAGCAATGCAGCATAACAGATCAATCTGGACTAAGAATATAACTTTCTTTGGTTGATGACATATAAATCAACTTTATACAAGTACTTAAAAAACATCATTAAAAAACAGTGCTTTTTGTGAACTTTTCAATCATTTAGTGTGGTATTTTAAAACATAAAATATTAATGTAATATAATTTAAATATAAATTACTATTTTCCACATACTGATTATGTATTAGAGATTCTCAGTCCAAATTTCTAAAGACATACAGAAGCACAACGAGCTGACTGGAGATATATTATATGTAATAATATCTGATGTTTCACTC